ACACACACACACTTACACGCACGCAAACAATCTGAAAACTCGTTATGGATCGAAATATTCGTGAAGTAATGTGTTAATGTTTTGTGATGTGTTTGTCGCAATAAAATGAAGAGGCTGTGAGAGGCTTTATGTTGTAGCCCAGCTTCTCAGCTTTCTGTGAAAATGATCGACAGCAGGCAGACGGCAATTAAAAAAATGTTAGAAAAAATAAATCAAGATAAAAACGCCCCTAGGCGTACTTTTATTTATTTATTTATTTTTGAGAAATTGAATCCCTTTAATAATCTTGCATAACCTCTGAGGTTGTATTGACACGGTATAAGGCCTATTGTATGGAACAGACTTAAAGCAACATAAGTTTCAAACCGTAAAATTTTATTTTAATCAATACTAATTATTTTATATAACGATACAAATGTTTTATCTTCAGTTAAATTCGAGATTTTTAATTTAAACTGTTAATGTTAAGATATAAATCTTTTAGGCAAATGTTACACTGAGTTCTTAAACATTCTTTAACTAAAGGAGGCTCGTCGATACAATTTGATTTAATTTCATCCGATCACTGACTGATTTGTGACATAAATGCCCATGAAGTGTTGGATGTCAGCCAGAGAGGCGCAGACAACTGATCCCAGTCCTCCCAGTTAGGAGGGAAGTGGAACCGGTAATCCCTTGAGATGGAGCATCTCCTGTTAAAGGTGGTCACACTCTCTAAATGAACCAAAATAAAAGGTCTAAAAAAAAAAAAATTCATTTGATCCGGATTCATATGCGCACATAATATATTTTAGTTGTGATGGTAAGCGCGTTCGAGAAAGATCAGGCCGATGTTAAAGACATTTTGTGGAGAAAGTCATTTACTTGTGTTCATATCGGTGGTTTATACATTTACTGTTATGTTAATATTAATGCATCTGCGTAAAATCATGGTAAAAATAGTTAAATTCATACATTTTTTATCCAGACTTCACTGGAAAAGTTAAAAGTGCGCGAGGTTTGGGGCATTATAGCCCAGTAATTCAGTAATTCACTCAAATTGTGAATGAGTTGACAACTACTTATACAAAAATGAAATTAAAGTTAACAAAATAAAACCCCAGGAAACAAAAAAAAAAACTTAATAACTTCCAGCACCTGTCTGTAATGAACCCTGACCCTTTTTGAAATTGTATGTGGGTTTCGATAGATACGTGAGAAATACTGCAGGGGCCTACTGGTCTGTCGGTTACTGTGTATTTACTTTAGACAAAGAAGAGTCTGTGACATTATATTCACAAACAATATTTTCAGTCTGAGCCTTGTGAAGCTATTTATGAGCTTATGTATTGTCTTTGCTGCAGCTGGTGCTCAGTAACCAACCTTCAACCAGAAGAAACTTGATTACTAAGCACGTATGAAGAGCAGTGAACATATTTCAGTATTCATTCAATTCTATAGAAGTTGAACTGACAAAAAACATCACAGCACATTAGGCAGGTTGCAAATTATCATGAAATTTGTTTCTTTAATTTTGTGTAGAGAGTAATTTAAGGGGCATCAAATACTGTAATTAATAATTGTATTTGATCATATTTGTTGTTTTGTTTTTACAGATGAGACAAAAGCTTTGCAAACATTTGAATTAAATTATAACTTAATTGTCGAGCAACAAAAACAACAACAACATAAGAAAGTCAGGAAACACAAAGTAAGCCTGATGGAAGCTGTTTCACAGGAAGAAAGAGTCAGATTTAACTGGTTACTCAGTGGAGATCACAAACCAGAATAGCATGTAAATTTCACAGCATCTTTTCCTCCTCTGCGGAAGCAACTGCAAAGAATTTCAAACTGTGTTGGGACTTGCATCACGTTGGTTTAGATGATGAAATAAATGCTGCGTTTCCAGCATCAGCAGATCTGGAAATCACAAATTCAACTTGTTCTTCTTGGATGAAAATAAGAAACATTGGGGTTTTTAAAAAAAAAACAAAACAAGAAAGAGCTTGTTTTCTTGTCTTCATTCCCTCACTCAACCTTCTGGTCCTCTATCACCATAAAACTGGAAGACCGGGTTACCAGAGGTCCCTTTGGGGCCCTAAAATCACCTCTTTAACCCCCCATCCTTCATCACCAGGCCTTATTTATCTCATTCACTAAAATTCTCACCATGTCAGTCTTAATGTTTTCCCTACCAGGCTGTTTGTGTGTGTGTGTGTGTGCTGTGGAGTGTGAAAGTCGATGTATAGCATGTGTGTGTGAGAAAGCGATTCAAATCCCTATTGGACAGCCTCACAGAAGGCAAATGAAGGGGTGAGAAGAAAGGGTGGGGGCGGGGCGCGGGGGGGGGGTGTTTACGGCACGAGGAGCCCACGCGGTGGCGGCTGCAGTAATTAGCATGGGTCGAAACGTGTACGACGATACCGCTACATTCATAACCAGCCATAAGCGGTGATGAGCCAGAGCGAGGAGAGAGGGGAGAAAGAATATAGGGAGAGAGAGATGAGAGAAAGTAGGAGCATAGCGCCAGCTCTGTGTGGAGGTGAAGGACAGCGGAAGTTGGGAAAGGATAGATATATCGTAATAGGAAAGTGCCATTGGCAAATCGAAACCATCCGGTGCATACCATATGCGAAAACAACACATTAGTTTTCTATAGGGATGCAGATCAAGAATGACTAGTAATCACTCTCAGAAGTTGAGCAAAAGTATTCACCATATAACGCAAACCAGAGAAACAACACGAAATGTCAGTCTTTATACTGTAGAATATTATGTAATATATATCGGAATTGTTTTTTTTTTTTTTTTTCATCGTACAGAACGCCTTTTTCCTGCAGATGTCAAAAAACCGAGCCACAGCATCCAACCGAAAAATCGAAAATAATGTGTGTCCCCCCACGCGGCAAGCATAAACTGCCAAAATATCGTGCCATTCCCGGAAGCCGCCAGATGGGTGGGATGGGAAAGTCGTTCCCCCATTAAATTCTAATAATTCAACTCCTGCGGAATCACGGGGGATGGTGCAGTGGGAGGAGGAGGTGGGTGCGAGTGTGGCTGTGCGGTTGGGTGCGGCGGAAGATGGCATTGAGGTGTGGATGGAGTGAGGGAGAGAGGGATTGTGTTTATTAGACAGATTTAAGGAGCTGAACCCCCTCCTCAAGGTGTGTTTGTGTGTGTGTGTATGGTGGGAAGAAGAGACCTCACCCAGTTCATCCTTGGCTTATTTTCTAGTGTGGTGCACGTTAAAAAAATTACACCCAATGAGGAAGTAGTGTATAGGGGTGTGGGTGTGTGTGGTGTGTTGGAGGCACGGCAGGGCGACTGCAAGCAGAGGAGGCCTGGAACTCCAGACTAGGCAGATCGTCATAACTGGTCCAACTGGTGGATCAGTCTCTCGGCACCAGCCGGGCCTCTCACAGAAGTACTTTCCTCTATCTGATGAACTTGCACTGAAAGGTAGAAGGGTGGGTGGGAGGAGACGAGGGAATATATTCGGCCTGAGGAGAGAGGAGAACATTAATACAATATTTGGTCAGATTGATAAATAATTGAGGGTAGATTGGGTTCTTACGAGAGAGTTTTATCCGTCGGAGAGTCGTGGCAACTATGAAGTTAAC